ACAAACAAAAAGATCTGACAGTATGCCTGTAATGTTTATTGTTAACCCGTAAATATCGAGGACGTATCCTGGGCTGTATTTCTTTGTACCTGACATGTCACGGAAAGTAAATGCGGCTGGGCTTAGTGCTGACCACACTATTCCGAGGTCACAGAAACCGCGGAACTCTTCATATCAGCCCCATGTACAACCATGTTCCAAAAGGGAATTTAAAAAAAAAAAACTTTTCTGATCTCATATCGTCATCCATCTCTTTAGGTGAGTGTGTGTTTGGTGACGAAACGGGAGGACTCTTTGCCAGTTTGTCGTGCGCTTCCAGAATCCAGTCCTTCCCTGGCTATTGCTACTATTCCTTTTATACAACCTACTGCTGCGCTTCGTGCAAGAAGTTCTACAGCAACATCACAGGTATGTTGTCAAACGAATTGTACGAACGAGGTAGGACGGGAGAGTTATGATTTGTTTGCTCCAAAAAAGCCCCGAGTTCAGAATTCCAAAAGACTAGCCTCGATAGGTGGAGACATCAACTTACCTAGAAGAGAACTTTAAAATCAAACAACTTCCAGGGTGTCGGCGTGGTCGAGTCAGTAAAGCTCACGGTTTCTAAACCGAAATTCTCGAGTTCGAACCCTCGGTCAGATGAGGCTCGTTAGCTGGGGTTAGCTGGGGACAGCCACTCTTCTAGGAGAGAAAACTCCAAAATCCAACAACTGTTGCCTTGTAGTTTGTTCTTGGTTGGACAAAGGCTGTGGAAGCAAATCCAAAAAAGAAAAGCAGGCGGAAATCGGAGTCAATGGCCTCAATGGCGCATAACCAGTTGACACGTATCCTTAATTGTGTTGGAGGGATCCTTCCAACACTAAAATTAAGAACGAAGAAGAAGAAGAGGAAACATCTTTATCTTGAAGATTGTTATTGGATGGACAAAGGCTATAGAAGCATATACTGAAAGCAAGACGGACAAATGCTATATATAGCATATATAGAAAGAAAGATGGGACAAAGTATATAGAAGTATGTACAGAGAGATAGATGGATAAAGTATATAGAATATTTTAGAAGCATATAAAGAAAAGCAATTTGAAGTGGTGTCAACAGGGCATATGGCGCATACCATTTTAAAATTGTATTGAAGAAAATCTACTTTAATCTAAAATTAAAAACAATGAAGAAAGAGACGTTATAAAACGTAATAAATGAATACATTATTTTTTAAATTTAATATTTATGTATGGAACATTTTAAGGTTAATGTTTAGTATATATTAAATTGTTTTAAATATAATTTTATTTTACACAGGTTGTGAATATGGGGATAGATACTCAGATTGTAATGCAGCTCTCTGCTCGCGGTACCCTGTCAGTATCCAACAAGGATGTTGTAAAACCTGCAACTATGGTGTATCAACAACTCTACCAACAACAAGCCTACCAACAACAACCATACCAACAACAACCACACCAACAACAACCTTATCAACAACATTCACACCACCAACAACCAAACCAACAACAACCACACTAACAACCACACCAACAACAACCCAACCAACAACAGCCCTACCAAAAACAACCCTACCAACAACCACACCAACAACAACCCAACCAACAACCACTCTACCAACAACAACCCAACCAACAACAACCCAACCAACAGCAACCAAACCAACAACAACAACCACACCGACAACAACCAAACTAACAACAACCACACCAACAACAACCAAATCAACAACAACCACACCAACAACAACCCTACCAACAACAACAACCCTAGCAACATCAACCATGCTAACAACAACATCCCCGACAACAACAGTTGAAATAAAAACTACCTCAAGTAAAACATTAACAGAAAAGGAATCTTCGACAAATACAACAACAACCACACCAACAACCACAACTACAACAACTAAACCTACATCACAATCACAAACAACCACAAAACCTACAACTAAATCACAAACGACAGCCAAACCTACAACTAAACCTACAACTAAATCACAAACAACAGCCAAACCTACAACTAAACCTACAACTAAATCACAAACAACAGCCAAACTTACAACTAAACCAACAACTAAATCACAAACAACAGCCAAACCTACAACTAAATCTACAACTAAATCACAAACAACAGCCAAACCTACAACTAAACCTACAATTAAATCACAAACAACAGCCAAATCTACAACTAAACCTACAATTAAATCACAAACAACAGCCAAACCTACAACTAAACCTACAACAAAATCACAAACAACAGCCAAACCTACAACTAAACCTACAACTAAATCACAAACAACAGCCAAACCAACAACTAAACCTACAACTAAATCACAAACAACAGCCAAACTTAAAACTAAACCTACAACTAAATCACAAACAACAGCCAAACTTACAACTAAACCAACAACTAAATAACAAACAACAAACAATTCCGCAACTAAATCTACAAAATAAACACAAAATTCAATCGTAGGGTCCTCGAGAGATTACTTTAAGTCACAACACCATCCCCACCTACAATATCCACAACTTCAACACCTAACCATCCACGTCTACACAGACCTCAACCACAACTACAATTATGAAGTCTGCAAACACCCACAACAGCGGTAACACCATCATCAAACTCTACAACAAAAACAACAAACAACTCATAATCTGTCGTAATACCTATTGCGATAATTTGATTTACATTTTTACAACTATATAATCAAAAACAACACAACACAACCAACAGCATCACGTTTAGTTACAACTTCACCAACCACACCCAAAACTACAACAAAGAGACAACAGCTTTCTCAACAGCTTCAATAATAACTAAGCATACAGTTATATTTAGAACCAAAACCTGTTAAAATACTGGATTAAACACTCAACATAATGTTATATTTACAAGTATAACTGCTTGAATACCAATACATACAACATTAATTATAACAAAAACTAAGCCAAAAACAATCACTAAACCAACAACATTAACACCAGCATTACCAACCGATATAAGCAATGTTTAAAAACCGAGGCGTTCGAGGCGGGGTGCGGGGGTGCGGAACGCACCGGATGACACCTTTTGGGGTGAGGGTGAAACCAAGACAAAAAATATTATTTAAAATGTATAGAAGAAAATGCTTTTTGCTAGTTCAATTGAAAGTTAAAAAGAGTAAAAAAAAAAACTATTTTAAGTATAAATTGACGATCCCGGCAAGTTGGGCGAGGGGGGGGGGGGGGGGGGGGGGGGTGACAACATGACGTAAACATGCTAACTATAGAAAAAAACACAATGCTACGTACAGCTATATTAATAACCAACTATAGGTAAACATTCATACTATAAACTTTGCACTCTTTAAAGATATCACCCGAGGGGTGGGGTTGGGGGAGGGGGTGAGGCTGATACCAATTGCTAAATTTACAGAAGAAAATAAAAGTTTAGTTGAATATTTTCAATAACTAATAACGACCGGGGTGGGGTGACACCATAAGGTGCCGCACCAGGTGACACCCGACCTAGATACGCCACTGTTTTAATAACAACTGCTACAAATACACCACAAACAACTACACATTTATCAACAATTTAAACGCAAACACATTTTACGTGGCAATATTAATGCGTACTTGCACGTACACGAATTATCATACGGGTGCTGAATTTGTTTAATTAAAATTCTTTTAATTAATTATCAGATACATAGGTGCACGATGAAAACGTTCAACTTTTCTAGACCAACATAAAACACATATTGTATACGTGTCTCAATCCCGTATGTCATAATATTACAACATAACATTCCTTAGGTGCATAAGCCCGCCATAGTACTTTTATAATTAGTTCTTAGTTATTGAATCATGCTTATATCTCTTGCAAGAATGTTATATTGTTGTAAGCATACGTATCGAAGCTGATGAATGGGGTGAATTCTACATGTGCGATGTGTTGTGAAACTAAATCAACATGTTGAATTTTCAACTTTTCAACTTGTTACATTTTGTAGTTTTATTTTAAAAATAAAATTCGAATTTAAAATTGTTTGATTTACTTTACATAATGTGATGAATTCGTATAGTTTTTGTTAAAAAAATAACGACACTTGTTCCTTCTTAATTGTACTGCGTGACCAGATATCTTTAACGCAATTACGTATAACTTGTCGATATGTTATGTGTCATATCGTTTGATTTTGGAACTAGCTCTCCTAGATGGGTTCAATCCTGAATATTGCAATAAATTACTCAACAATTGTAATGTCTGCAACGTATGGGTTACAAAAAAAAAAAAAAACTTGTTTTTACAAAATAAGGAGTACAATAATATTTGTTTTCAGTTTTCTGTCAAATATAACGCAAAATACATAATAAAGGCAACATTTTGTGTTTAATGGGATAATGAATTGAATTAGGACATTGTTATGAACGACGTCATCAGTATGGTTTGTTTTGATGGTGGTGATGACTGCAGTGAGAGGTTAAACAGTTGTGTGGCGAATTAGACACTGTATATTACTTGATTGTTGAAGAAGACACCAACACAATTTCAGCTGAACAACTTTAATTAATAGATACTCAAACTACACTCTATATGGTCTAAGGAAAACAGAAATAGTTCATTAACAGCGGCCGGCCTTAGGGGCCACACTTTACAAGAACACAAAAACACGACTACATTCTAACCAGCCTAACGTTCAACTGTTCTATCTTTCTGGCCAAGCTTGACCCTGGGTTCCTTAACCCCTGCATGACCCCAGCATTCCAGCGAGGGGGAGGGACGGGCGCCAGCAAATGCTAGGTGGGACTGATGCATTGTGTCCCAGTTCAGGGGGGGGGGGGAGCTGCGGAGGGGCAGTACAGGATGTTACAGTTCAGGTGTAGGGCAGGAGGGGGTGGGGTAGATACCCACTAGCGGTGGGACGAGGGGGTTGGACTCAGTTATAACACTCCCCTCTCCTTTGACAAGCTGGCAAAGCCAGCGAGGCTTACACTCTACATACATGATCTATCACATGCAACAAACTACAAACTAATACACTAAGAGCAGTAATAACATAGGTAGGAAAGCAACACTTCAAACATCTTAGTACGATAAAAAATAATAAAGCTTCCTCAATAGGTGACACTACTGTGTCTTAACTCTAAACAATCAACAGCTAACAAAGTTCAATAATAAATGCTACTGGGTAATGCTAAATCTAAAGCAGTTTGTACAACATGATATAGTTCGTGTCTAGGATTTGTCGCTATAGCATATACAAATGAACTCTTTCATGTCATCTATTTCAGTAGTTTTTTTTTTTTTTAAACTGTACGACTATATGTATCTAATGGGGAAAAAAATGGTTATAGATCTATAAATTTCAGCGTAATATAAGGTTAAGTAGTCCTCAATACACAACAAGCAACACTTCATCATTTCTCCAAGATAAAACTTCTCATGTTGGTAAAACTAAGTACTATGGCCACAATTATAATTAGTTTCTCTACAACATACAAAATATCTTAGAGGAATATTTTCCAACAAAACCCAAAAAATCAATAGACAAGATATACTCGGCAACACATCGATATACCATCATAAAAACCCATTAAAAGCATAGACTGCATCATCAGTCTCTAAACATCATCTCATTCTTGTCCTATCTATCTATCTAGCGGAAACTCAACCGTCGCAAGCTTACCGTCAAGTAAGTGGAACGATTGACCGCTTCACACATCATCGTCCTATCTAGCTAACTAGCGGTAACTCAACCGTCACAAGCTTACCGTCATGTAAGTGGATCGATTGACCGCTTCAAAATTTCACAACATAAAAAAAACAAAGACTCGAAGCTACAGGGTTCAATCATCACACGATTAAGAAAATAAATCCTCCAAGTATAGTGTATATCATAGGCATCTCGTTATTTAAACAGTGTGTCAACTGGTTGATAATAGAAATTTTTTAACAAATCAGGTTATAAAAATTATGATTGTCTTGTAAAGGATCCTAACTTTATGATTGGTATATAAGCTTTTAGCTGGCACATCGAAAAAATAAAGACAGAAATGATTTAAAAGTGCATTGATTAAATGTAAACAATCTCTAGCACAACAAAAAATTTAATCTAACAAAAAAAATTCAACAAACAATTCCTTATTGCTGACTTCTATGACTTCTAACAAATGCAGCTAATTGACCTAAACTAAAGAATTATAGACTTAACTGACTGCTGGACTTTGGCATACGACTTACAGAAGAGGAACAACGCCTTTTATTATTGTTACAACAAATTGGAGCTTAACATTTCTAAATCTACATTCGTCGGCTTGGACATCTGGAACTGCTGTGGGATGACATCGACACATGAACACTTCATTTTAACTTCAGTGGGGTAGGGTACTTCATATCGTCATTAGGGGTACACGAATACTCCATATCATCACGGGACATCAGGGGTGTAGGGATATTTCACATCATCATGGGTGGAGGGGTACTTCACATCATAACAGTTCAGATGCCATTAGACTATAAACAATGACGATTTAGTCAGTAGTCACTCTCACTAATCACTGTCACTTACTTCAATGTTGGAAAAATAAATTCTTCAATTCTAACAAGTCACCAAAGGCAATTAAAGTAGGTAGTCCAAGCTAATCAAAGTCCTAATTCATGCACAAAACTTGAAAATAGACTAACAGTGACAGTTCTGTCACACGGATTTTGAAACAAAAGTTCCATCCACTTATGTAGATCTACGTAAAACTTGACAACAACGAACTTGACGCTAAACAGAGACGATGTGTGGCAGTGGCGTGACAAAAAAATAGTAGATCTAGATCTGTACCTCTTCGAGAATCACCGAAGTTGAAAAAAAATTTCCACAAAAGTTCTTTTACCCTGTTTCGACGTTCTTTAAAAGTCAGTTTGCTACTCAACCAAAAACGTTATGAATAATTTTAGCTGCTCTATCAAAATATTGTAAGTCGGTTCGCTGTTAGAGAAATCTAGATAGTTTTGCTCCTTGATCCGAATATTATGAATGTCCTTTTTGCTACTCCACCAGAATGTAATAGGTCGTTTTGCTGCTCCACCAAATGTTACGAAACGAAGGTCATCAGTATGATTAGTATTGATGGTGGTGATGACTGCAGTGAGAGGTTAAACAGTTGTGTGGCGAATTAGACACTGTATATTACTTGATTGTTGAAGAAGACACCAACACAATTTCAGCTGAACAACTTTAATTAATAGATACTCAAACTACACTCTATATGGTCTAAGGAAAACAGAAATAGTTCATTAACAGCGGCCGGCCTTAGGGGCCACACTTTACAAGAACACAAAAACACGACTACATTCTAACCAGCCTAACGTTCAACTGTTCTATCTTTCTGGCCAAGCTTGACCCTGGGTTCCTTAACCCCTGCATGACCCCAGCATTCCAGCGAGGGGGAGGGACGGGCGCCAGCAAATGCTAGGTGGGACTGATGCATTGTGTCCCAGTTCAGGGGGGGGGGGGAGCTGCGGAGGGGCAGTACAGGATGTTACAGTTCAGGTGTAGGGCAGGAGGGGGTGGGGTAGATACCCACTAGCGGTGGGACGAGGGGGTTGGACTCAGTTATAACAGACATCATAGTCTACTTTTATAGAATAGCTCAAACCAATGTATGTCTATTGAACACCGTTATTGTGTAATATGTATCGACACGTCATGTATTGCTAGTCAACGGGGCCGGGTCGGTATAACTCATAGTTTCTAAAACGAAAAGTCTCATTTCCATCCGAGTAGATGAGGCTCG